TAAATAAAAAGATTCGCTCTTTCTATTCTGCATCTAACGTGTATAAACCTTACTTTTGTTGCTATTTATTTTTATTACTATTAGATTAAATTGTATCATTTGCTTCCATTTTTAAAATTTACACTTTTTAAATAAATTATAAAATTATTAATTTAAAAAATGTATAATAGACAAATATTATGTATAAATGTATACGATAAGTGACCGTAGGTGTATTGAGCTTGAGTCCGTTTGCTAAAATTTGCTAAACCTAGTGTGGCACATAAAAAGACAAATAGTAAAATTTAAACGATAAGCAAATTGACTAATTATATCCAAGAATTTTAAAATGATATGACAATCATATATTTTTTTGATAATTTTCAACTTGATTGATTTATTTTCTGCTAAAGTCTTACGTTTTACTACGTGCTATTAGTTTTAAGAATAAACTCCTAATTGACTATGTGAATTAATTACACCTGCGAGAGAAACTATTACAATAATTAGTTATAATATTTTCTTTCTTTTAATTGTAAAAAAAAAAAAAAAAATATCGAATCTAGTCTAACTAATTTTACGGAAATATCTTGTGTAAAATTGCACGTTTAGATTGCTATGCTGCCATCTAGGAAGTCTGTGTCGCGTCTCCAAGTGAAATTGATATTTTACCGCCATCAGATCAAAATACATAATTGTTTAAATTCTTCCTGAGAAATTAAAACCTAAAAAATTAATGTTGAGATATTTTAGCTTCTATTTGCTATAATCTATCGTAATAAAATGCACGTAATCTCGCTCTTTATAGTGTAGAGTCTCGATTATTGATATTTTAAGGTTAATGATCGTATCAATGATATTTTAAGAGTAAAATAGAAATAACGATGGTAAAGCAGATTGTACGTAGGTTATCATAGAATTTTCAATCATTAATTTAAATAAACGCTAACGCTAACGAAGGATAAACACATATCTAAAAGTCTTGACTCAGCTAATAATTTATCATAGAAGACTTTCCATTCATGTCGAGCTGTTACTTGCTGAGCAAATCATATTAGAGATGTCTAGTTTTTATTTATCGACAATTTAAATACAAATCTACGAAAATATATTTAATAATAGTATCGAATTATATGATTTCATAAAATTAAAGGCCTTGTTCCGCCTTTCTTGGACAAAAATGTTAGCGCGATTCTACTTATAAATAATGTTACAATATGAAAGATCAATAGGATCATTTTTAAAACGTAGAGATTAGCTTTCAGAAATTCGAAAAAATCAAAAAAGGAAAATATACAAGCTTAATCGGAAAAGCAAATCGGAACATTCAATTCAGACAGCACAAAGAATTCTTAAATAAGTTTTTAAATGTTCTTCTTTCCTGATTTGTGTAAGGTTTTAAAAATTTATAAAACAATACAATAAAAATAATATCTTTAGAAGCTACATGTGTCATAATTGGGAATGGCAATTCCTGAGAAATCTTTTCGAAAATTTATAGAGAAAAAGATGTATATTCTAGAAAAAGATGTATATTTTAAGCATTTATGAGAATTAGTCTTTGGAAAACCCCGAAAACAAAAACCTTTTAAATAATACGCTTCTTCCCTAAATAATTAATATTGTTGCGTCCGCGGTGATCATTGACGCGCTCTCACTCGCGTTCCGCTAGGAAATAAGCGCTCGGCAACACCGATTTAATAAAATACGTAGGCTTTAGTCGAACCAAACTACTACAACAACAACAACAACAATAATTTGGCGGACACACGTCTGTTTCTGTCACGTCACGAGTCGCCACCGCGCTGTACCTTTTTTATAAACAAAACAACCAAGAGTCCCGAACAGCGCTTCGCTTCTACTCCAAATGGCGGCTCGATTCCACTCGGTCGCAGAAGACTCGCGCGGGCATAACAATATCAAAAAATTATTTTAACCAAAGCAATATAGAACATTACATTGCAGCAATTGTAATAATATTGAAAGATTTTTATCATTGAAATGTCACAATGTTGCTGCAATACTTACTGCAACATAAAACATTCTATGTTGACTGAGAAAATTTATTTAATTACTTTGTAAGAATTAAATAAAAAAGTTAAAAAAGATACTAAAATTTTTTAAGTCTATGTTCCAATATGAATTATAGATTTTCAGCACTGATAATGAGAAATAATATAGACACAAAATATTAGAGAAAAACGAAAAATTTATTAAAATCTGCAATGATATTCAAAATCGGAGATATCCAGATTTCCCCACGAATTCTTTAAGTTCATTTCATTTTATGAATTGCGAAATATTTATCATAATAAACTTTTAGAAAATATTTTGAATCAGAATATGAATAATTCATCGAGAATCTTTCAGATGTGCATTTTCTAATTCTGTACAAAACTTTTAAAATAAATTCACTACGAATTTCTATTCACTCATCGGGGAACATAATAATAAGAAATAATTAAGTTAACTTCAATAGTGTCGTGTTATCGATAAAAAACGATTTGATATTCAACATCAAAGCTTTTTAAAATGATTCACATCATTCGTAAAATTATTTTAACATATATATCTATTAATATTTTTTGACGATTTTAAATATGTCGTGTCGCCTGATATTATGGTAGTAATGACGAAATATATTAAAAAATATATAAAGAATATATAGAGAGTCTAAGAGAGCTTAAAAATTCAATGTTCAAAAGACAAAATTGGGGTTCAATCACACCGCACAATCTTTTCCAATTTCACGCGAGAGAAAGGAAGGCACGCGAGAAAGCTGCGCGATTTAGCGCGCAATAGCGCGCTCCTTATACCGACCTGTCCGACCTGACAGAATATTATACGTTGTATCGTCATGCTATCGCAACAAACTTGAATCGCAACAAACTTAAGACAAACGTCAATTATTCATTCGCCACGCTCGGTCGCCGTCTACCGACCGTCTACCGACAAAAGTTACAGTCAGCAATTTCGCGGAAAGCGAAGCTCTATTATATCTCAAGAAAATAATCGTAAAACGCGCTCACGCTATTTCGTTTCCACGCACGTGAATCGCGCAGGTGCAAATCCCAAATACAGGTTCCTCATGAGTCGCGACCCTGAAGTAGCCCTGAAGTAGCCCGAAGTATCCATATCCCGATATGCGGGATTTCCGTTCGGGCATAAGTTGCGCGATTTCATTCCGTCGAATCGTTGTCTCGGCGTTGTCTCGAAATATCGGATTTCCATTCGATTGGATTTCAATTTCGGATTGTATTCGTCATTCTGTCATTCTTGGTGCGGGTCATTCACGAACAGGATGGTACCTAATCATGATTCGTTCGCAAGTGTCATCCGCGTGAACGTCGCGTTGTTGAGACTCTCCGGCATAGCGTCTTACAAAAACGGAAGTATCCAGCTTGAGGACCGATCGAGCTCGCGGAACGTTCTCAGCGCGATCGCGTACGGTTGCCTATTCGCATACGCGGGTCTGTACACGTACGAATTCGCTTTGAGGACCGTCCATCTCGACACCTGGATGGAATCGTTCGCAATGATACTCTCCCTCGTGGGCGGGCAGGCACGATTCACGATTCTCCTTCTGTTTCGGAGTAGATTTCAGCGATTACTAATGATCTGCGAAAAACTCTGGTCGGCGTTGAACGTGGCCGAGAGGAAGTACGTTCGCGATTACGTAAAAATGACGAGACACTTGACCTACTACTATCTATTCGGATGCGCGTTCACAATCTTCTTTTACGCCGTGGCGAGTCTCTTCATGGGACACCACGACGATTCGTCGAACGCAACGGTGAGAACGCTACCGTATGCCTGTCCGGTGGCAGTCGATCGGACGCCCTATTATGAAATAATGTATATCGCCCAATTGTTCAGTATGACGAATGTCGGTCTCACCTGCGCCGCTGCCGACACGGTCGGACCGGTACTTATCTTAACCGTTTGTGGCCACTTTAAGGTTCTTAATACGCGACTTTTACATTTGAGAGATCGCGACCGGGTATATTCGCAGGTCGTTTCCGAAGAATCGCAATCGACTCCTACGGAATCGCTCGAGATGACAATGCTGGAGGAAAAACGTAACGTGGCGAAAAATCTTAATTTGATAAAATCTGATCTCGAGGCCTGCGTGTACTACCATCAGACCATGCTCGAGTAAGTGAAAGAAGGGAGGAGAAAGAAGGGAGATCTGATCTTTTAAGATTTAAAGATACCTATAAGATAAGATAAAATTTAGAGATGACTGACGATTGATCTATGAAATTCATTTCGTATTTCTCAAACGAAAGACTTTCCTTCTTTACGGTTTAATTAATTAACAATATTCTATATTTGTTGTTGTTCGAATAGACTTTGCAAGGAAGTGGAAAGGCTAACCACCAGCATCTTTCTAACGCAACTACTCGGCAGTACATACAACGTGTCTCTCGTGGGATTTAAATTAGCAGGGGTAAGAAAATTCGAATAATCTTTTATCAATTGCTTTTTTTTTTGCAATTTTGCTATTTTGCAAATGCACACATTTGCGCACATTTGAAATAATTTAAGAAGCTTAAATTTTTGTGAATTTCCAAAAATTCCAAAAATGCCCGCACGCGCGCGCGTGTGTAATAGTTTAATAATAGTTTTTCTCTAAAACATTCACAGGAAATATATGTTTTAGCTTCGCAAATGTTTTAACATACAGCAATTTCAATGAAAACAAATTTTGTCAAAATTAAATTTTGTTAAAATTTGTATCGAGCATCATTATTTAATTGAACGTGATGAAAATAATAAAAAATATGTGGAAAATAAATTTATATGTATATGTAAATATTTTAATAAATATTTTAATAAATATTTAAATATGCACACAGGATGATCCTGATAAATTTAAATATACAACACAACTGTCGATTGCAATGATTCAACTATTTTTGTGTAATTGGCCGGCAAATGTCCTTCTCGTCGAGGTATGTTAGAGAGACAGGAAGAGAGAGGAAGAGAGAAAGAGAGAGAAAGAAAGAGAGAGAGAGAGAGAGAGAGAGAGAGAGAGAGAGAGAGAGAGAGAGAGAGAGAGAGAGAGAGAGAGAGAGAGAGAGAGA